TACTACTCAGCAGAGAAAAACAATGAAAGCATGAAATTTGCAGGCAAATGGATGGAACTAGAAAAAATCATCCTGAGTGAGGTAACCCAAACCCAAAAAGACAGTCATGGTATGTAATAGTAATACTATTACTATTACTATTACTCACTCATAAGTGGATTCTAGATATAAAATAAAGAACAATCAGACCACAACCCATAGAACCATGGAGGCTATATATATATAATGGAGGTCCCTAGGATGACTGTGGCTTATAATAAATTTCAGTTTTACTCAATTATTGAAAAAAATAGCCAAATGAATGGAAACACATGAACTATGAACCAAAGGCTGAGGGGCCCCCAGCTGGATCAGGCCCTCTGAATAGGTGAGACAGTTGATTGGCTTGATCTGTTTGGGAGGCATCCAGGCAGTGGGACTGGGACCTGTCCTCAGTGCATGAGTTAGCTGTTTGAAACCTGGGGCTTATGCAGGGACGCTTGGCTCAGTCTGGGAGGAGGGGACTGGACCTGCCTGGACTGAGTCTACCAGGTTGATCACAGTCCTTGGGGGAGGATTTGCCCTGGAGGAGGTGGGAATGGGGGGTAGTCTATGGGGGGTTGGAGGGGGGAGAACAGGGGAACCCGTGGCTGATATGTAGAACTGAATGGTATTGTAAAATAAAATAAAAAAAAGAACACTTGCTGCCCTTGTAGAGGAGCCACAGGATGTTCCATAGCCATCTGTATCTCCAATTCTAGGGAAGCTGATGCCCTCTTCTGGTCCCCACAGGCACTGAATGAATAGTACACATACATATGTACATGCAGGGAAAACACATATACATGCAGTAAAAATAAATATTTTAAAGATCTACATATTACATTTATATAAAATGTCTAGATAAAGAAAATCTATAGACAGTTGATTTGTGGTTGTCTAGCACTGGGAATGGGACCTTATTGGGATGTTGGAGGCAAGAGGGTCAGGAGTTGATTTTAATTTATTTTTTTCTTTTGTTTTTACATGTATGATTGTTTTGCCTGCATGTATGTGCGAGCCCACTGGAATGAACTGTCTGGGACCCAAACTTAGGTCTTCTGGAAGAGCAACCAGGGCTCCTAATCATCTGAGCCATCCCTCCAGCCCCATGGATCGGGAGTCGAATTATCATCCTCAGCCACACAGCAAGGTCCAGGCCAGCCTGGGCCACATGAAATTGTCTCAAAAAATGGGAAAAAGGGCCGGGTAGTGGTGGTGCACGCCTTTAATCCCAGCACTCGGGAGGCAGAGCCAGGCAGATCTCTGTGAGTTCGAGGCCAGCCTGGTCTACAGAACGAGATCCAGGCAAGAGAAACCCTTTCTCGAAAAACCAGAAAAAAAAAGGAAAAAGGCTAGGAATATAGCTCAGGAGGTGGAGGCAGGAGGATCAAAAGTTCAAGATTATCTTTGACTACATAGAGCTGGGGGTCAGTTTGTGCCTCATGGGACCTCAACCCCCAAACAAACAAACAAAAAACAACAAAGGAAGTTTTGTAGAGATAGAATGGTCTGTTAGTGGAAGGTGGCTTGTGTTGGTGGGGTGTCCATGGATCATGGTTTGCAGTTACATAGGTGACAGTTGGAAGTGATTTGAGGTGCAGATGAAGCCTATATTGAACATAATTGGTAATGTTTAGGGTGACGTTGCAGATTCTTGCACAGCCCACTGGGAACCAACAGAGGGTGGTGTGGGGACTACATGGAGTGTTTAGGGTCAACAGAAGGTGTTTTCCATGCACAGTGAATGTAGGATTTAGGAATGATATTTGGAGTTCGACATTTATTTCATTGATAGAGCACTTAGCTATTATGTGTGAGGCCCTGGGTTCCAGAAATTTCTAGTACTGCAAATGAATGAATAAATAATACAAATGCTGTTTAGAAGTTATAGACTTCAGCTGGGTGGTGGTGGTGCACACCTTTAATCCCAGCACTTGGGAGGCAGAGGCACAGGTGGATCTCTGTGAGTTTGGGGCCAGCCTGGTCTACAGAGTGAGATCCAATACAGCCATGGCTACACAGAGAAACCCTGTCTCAAAAAAAAAAAATAAGTTATAGACTTCAAGGGTCAATAATTGAGGATGGTGAAGGAGGAATAAGTTGGAGGTTATGGAAGGCAGTTTATTAGTGTAGATTGAGTATTGATGAAGGGCGGTCTGGAGGTACTGCTTGAGATTAACAGTTGGGGGAACTATGGGAAGTGGGTTGGGGGTGCAACTCAGATGTAAAGACTGATTTGGAGGCTGCTGGAGTGTAGCTTGAAGTGCACACTCCAAGGATGTGCTTATGAAAAAAATCGGTGCATGTAATTTTGACATCCATGGAGCGTAACTTGCGGGTCTAGCCTTGGGCCAACAAATGACTTCTGCATGCTCGATCAATAGAGTTGTGTGTTGGTGCAGGTCAATGACAGCAGAGAATGGCCTGGAGGTACTGCTTGGGATCAAAGACAATACTTTGGGGATATAATTTGGAGGATGATGGAAGGTCGTTTGGGGGAGCACCTAGGAGATGGTAAAAGGAGTCGTTGGAGGTACTTTACAGGCGTGATAAAGGTTTATAGATAGCATTTAGGATACTGTCTTGGGGCAAGAGTGACTTGGAGTCAGGGGCTCCAGTCGGCTCACCTAGGGGGCGTGGCTTAGGGCTCCACCGCCCCAAAAGGCGCGTGCGCACACGCTCCCCGCTTCTTCATTCCTGGCGCTCCCAAAGCAGGAAAAATCGAAGACCAAAGCTGGCGCCTGCGCACTTCGTGTCTGCCGCTGCTGTGGTCCCGCGCCCCGCCCCCTCGTTCTCCAGCCCCCTAGGTTCGCGCTCAGCGGCGGAGGTGGCTGTGCAGCCAGCAACGGGCGTCCTGAGTTAAAGGTGAGGTGCGCGGGGCCGCCGCCCACGGCGGGGCCGGTGCACCTCTCCCACCATCTGGGGGTCCCCCATCTGCCCCCGAAGGCTAACGGTAGTGCGTGCGGTCGAACGCGGCCCAGAGGTAGGGAGCAGAAGCGAGGAGGCGCGCTCCCAGGGACGAGCGGGGCGCTGCGAGGGAAGGCGCGCCCACTAGATGCCTGTCGGCCTCTACCGACCCCACCTGCACGGCGGTGCGGGGACCCTCGGTGAGTAACCGTTCCTGCCGGGAGAAGAAGGGTGGGGACAGGGCGGGACAAGGCCCCGAAACATCCACAAGGATGGACCTGCGCGCGCACTTAGAGTCTCTGACCCTGTGCTCCCACCTCTGACCCCTGTCTGATCTGTCGACATCCTTTTTAAACCCCGAAGTCCTTGGCCCAGAGCCTTTAGTCCTACCCCTGACCTAACTATATTTTGACATGATGTGATCTTGAACCCCTTCTTTGTCCGCCAAGCCCAGTTTTGTTCCCCAGCCCTGTCCAGGTTTGTCTTTGGTCCAGGTCCCTGTTTGACCCTATCCTAACTCTGAAGCCCTAACTCTGGATTCTGATCTGATGCTTGACCACACTGTTCTCTACATGCTTAGCCAGTCTCTGAATTCCTTCCAGTCAAATGTTCTGACCCTCTAACCCTAATTTGTTCCAGTTCTATCCGGATTGCTGACCTCTGACTTCTGTACTGTCCTGTCCTGTGCCCCCACTACCACTCCTGAGCTCCGTCCGTTTTCCCCTTTTCTCTCCCACCACCACCTCATCCCTCTCTTCATTCTGCCCTGGTCTTTTCTTGTTCCTGACCTCCACCGGCACCTGCCCCTTTCCCTCCCTTCATCACTGGCTTGGCTTATCCCAGTCATGCCTTCTGGCTATTGTTCTATACTGTTGTTTGTCTCCTTGGACTTTTTCTCGTCTTCTGAACCTCAGTCTTCTATCCAGCATCTTGTCTCGGCTCTGGTCTTCTTTTTAGACAGGATTTGTCTATGTAGCCTTGACTGTCCTGGAACTTGCTGTGTAGTCCAGGATGGCCTCAAACATGTGATGTGCTCCTCTTGCCTCTGCCTCTGGGGCGCTGGGATTATAGGCATATACCACCACCATGCCCAGCCTTTATTATTATTATTATTTTTTTAAGACAGGGCCTTACTATGTAGCCTAAGCTAGTGTGGAACTTGCAGTAATCATTCTGTCTGTGCTTCCAGAGTGCTAGGATTACAGATGTGCCCACCATACCTGGCCCCTGCTCTGCCTCGTGATCTCCATCCATCCTATAGTGACTTTTCCTGTTTTAAACCATGCACTCACTCTTGTCCTAACCTCCCACACCATCCCCCAAACCAGACCTCCTGTCTTACTTGTTATTGTAACCTTCCAACTTATTCAGTCCTTCCTCCTTCCTAACACTCGTTTCCCATCCCTTTTGTGCTCTGGGTCTCATTATGCCTTGCCTCAGAACTTGAGAGCTCTGTTGTTCCCAGGGCTTCTAGCGTATGTTCCTTATACTGCTTTGAACAGAAACTAGTAGCCACGTAAGCTCCTCGAGGCAGGTGGAGTTTTTGTATGGGCTTTCCCCAGCCCCATCTCCACGCTAGTGATCTCCACCTAGAGCTAGCCTGCCTCTCACTGTCCTAGGAGTGCATGGAAATGTTCCTCCACCGCCTGCTCTCCCGAAATGTGAAAGAACACCCTAAATTATTCATTGATGCTCTGGGAGTCTGAGAGGTCTGGATCATGTTTCCAGTCTTTCTATATTGGGGGCCGTCCCATGTTGGTGAGGGAGGGGTGGAGGTTGAAAAGATACTAGGTTAAGAGACACGGGGTGTGTATGAATTTTTGAAGTCATGTTATCTGCTTCACGTGATTTTGATCCGGTCGGGTATGATCCCTGCTTTTGGGGACCGACAAAACAAAGCAAAACAAGAAAACTATTCTAGGTCAGAGGCTTTAGGACTTGGTAGGGGTGGGATGAGGGAAGGGCTTTCTTTTTTCCTCTCATGAAGTTAACAATGGACATTTTGGTGCTAACCCATCCCATCCATAAGGGTCTCTGTGTGAGTGTGTTGTGTGTAGGGGCGCAGGCAGTGACTGTGGCTGGATGTTAGAATCAGGCTCATTTAGCTTGGTAGTGCCATAACCCTGTCTCTCCAGCTACTCAAGAAGCAAGTGTGGGAGGTTCACTTGAGCCCAGGAGTCTCTGATCAGCCCAGAGAATACGCATCAGTTATTTATTTATTTATTTATTTATTATTTATTTAATTTTCAGGCAGGGTCTTGATATGTAGCCCTAGCTGTCCTGGATCTCACTCTGTAGACCGGGCTGGCCTCGAACTCACAGAGATCCACCTGCTTCTGCCTCCTGAGTGCTGGGATTAAAGATGTGTGCTACCATGCCTGGCAAGCCACATCTCTTTTTTTTTTCCAGGATACTTTTATATTTTCTAACAAAGTAAAATAATAAAATATAATAAGATAAAATAAAAATCATCACTTTGAAGTTGGACAAGGCAAACCACAGAAGGAAAAGAACCCTAAGAGAAGGTACAAGAACCAGAGACCCACTCATTCACACACTCAGGAGTCCCATAAAAATACTAAATTGAGGGCTGGAGAGGTGGCTCAGAGGTTAAGAGCACCAACTGCTCTTCCAGAGGTCCTGAGTTCAATTCCCAGCAACCACATTGGCTCACATCCATCTGTAATGAGATCTGGTGCCCTCTTCTGTGTACATAATAAATAAATAAATCTAAAAAAAAACCCCAAAACTAAATTGAAACCTGGCAGTGGTGGTGCATGCCTTTAATCCCAGCACTTGGGAGACAGAAGTAGGTGGATTTCTGAGTTTGAGGCCAGCCTGGTCTACAGAGTGAGTGCCAGGACTACACAGAGAAACCCTGTCTCAAAAACCAAAACAAAACAAGACAAAATTCTAAACTGAAAGCTGTACTATATATGTAGAGGACCAGGTGCAGACCTGTGTAGGCCCTGGCAAGACATCTTTTTAAAAATTGGAAGACAAGCCGGGCAGTGGTGGCGCATGCCTTTAATCCCAGCACTCGGGAGGCAGAGCCAGGCGGATCTCTGTGAGTTCGAGGCCAGCCTGGTCTACAGAGTGAGTTCCAGGAGAGCCAGAGCTACATAGTGAGACCTTGTCCCAAGAATACAAACAACAACAACAACAAACAAACAAACAAAGTGGTCTAGGGATATAGCTGGATAACGCCTGAGTTTTATCCCTGGTGTTGTGGAGAAAATAAATAAAAATTCAGGCTCATCTAGTAGTAACAATAAAATGAGATTTCTCTGCTGTGCAAAGCTTGATTATGAGTATGAATAGGGAGAAATAGCAAGAGGATAATATGTTAGTCTCAAAACTGTGAGTTTCAATAAGGAATGTCAGACCCATTTTATTTATCAAAAACATTTATATAGACCTACTACCAACTAGAGGTTACTCATGTCCCAATCTATTTGGTAGGTAAGTTATGAGAGAGGAAGACTTCCAGGAGTTCAGACAGTGAAAAATACTAAGTTATCTGAAGGTATTTGTTTTTGCGTTTTAATGACTGACTGAAAAATATGTTCAGAGGCTAGGAATATTGTTCAGAAGCAGATACCCAAGACCCTGTGTTCCATCACTGGCAGGCAGAGCCTTTGGATCAGATACAGTTGTGACGATGTATCAGCGTATCTGAAATGTATTTGATTCCTGCATTTTTTTTTTTTTCCGAGACAGGGTTTCTCTGTGAAGCAGTCCTGGCTGTCCTGGAACTCACAGATATCCATCTGCCTCTGCCCCCTCCTCCCATGAGTGCTGGGATCAAAGGTCTGAGCTACCATTGTTTGGCCTTGCTTTTTTTTTTTTTTTTTTTTTGGAGACAGTATTTTACTGTGTAACCCAACCTGGCTTGGAACTCCTGATTCTCCGTCTCATCCTCCCTGGTGCTGGTATTACAGGCATACATCACATCTATCTCAGTTCCTGCATTTTTTAATGATGAGGTAGAGAATGGGGGGGGGGACACACACACAGAGGAGCCTCTTTCAAACATGGCTGCTTTTAGCAAGAAGGGAGAATTTAGAGGCTGAGATACCAGCTCTCTGTATCTCAAGTGCATCTGAATATGTTTAATTCTTTGTAGACAATTTTAAATATTTATTTCATATGTGGAAGTCAGGGATGCTTTTGTGGGGGGCGTGGGGGCAACCTTTAGGAGTCAGCTAGCTTCTTGCACCATGTCGAGTTCTAGACACTGAACTCAGTCCTCAAGCTTGATGGCAAGCACCTTTGTACCCACTGGGGTGTCCTGCTGGTATCCTTTATTTTTGTGTATGTGTGTGTCCTCGTGTGTGAGGGCTGATACATGGATGTCAAAGGGCTTCTCCAGGTGTTGGTCTCACCTCATTTGTTTGAGGTACGGTGTCTCCTTTGCTGGGGAGCTGTGGATCACAGGCTAGCTGGCCCACATGCTTCAGGGGTGCTGTGGATCACAGGCTAGCTGGCCCACGCGATTCAGGGGTGCTGTGGATCACAGGCTAGCTGGCCCACGTGCTTCAGGGGTGCTGTGGATCACAGGCTAGCTGGCCCACTCGCTTCAGGGGTGCTGTGGATCACAGGCTAGCTGGCCCAC